TTGATGTCTGATACCTGGTCCCTTCTACACCTCGTGGTCACACAGGCTGGTGTGCTTCTTCCATGTGGGCTTTGATGCTTCTGAGCTAGATGGCTGCTTGTTTACCTGCAAGCTTTTGAGACCCCAGATGCTGTATCTTGTGATAGCCAGGCACCATCAGCTTTCTTCACCGCATTTGCTTATGCAAACATTTGTCTTCAGTGATTGTGTCAGGAAGGCGTTCAGCACATTTTTAATGCAGTTTTTGTGGTAAAATTAGGTGGCTCGGCTGAGTTTATTCGGGTCGGTTTATAATCGAGTTTATAATCGGTTTATAATCGAGTATATACAGTATTACGGTATTACTGCAACTAACAAAATGTCAGCATCTTCCAACTCCTCTTTCCCACAGGAAATTTGTATGATACATGTAATTTTCTGTATGTACCTATAACATACATTTGTAAGCTTACATGTGTCTCCAACTCTCCCCCCCCAAAAAAACCCCACTATTTATCAAATAGTATTATTTTAAAAAACAACTTTTATGACTCTTGAAAATAATTATTGAATAAAACTCCACTTTCACTATCAGAATCTACTTACGTTTTTAAGGTTCCTGATGTCATTAGTTCAGTCACTAATACAATACATTTCTTTCCTTTTAATATAGACTCCCAAGAATCGTAAAATCTAACTATATTGGGATGCTGGAGACCCTTTAACATCTCTGCTTCTTCTTTGAACCTTTGCTGCTCAGCTTTGGTTAACTTCCGGTCCTGAAATGGAGAAATAAGTTCCAAATTAAAGTGAGAGAAATTCTCATATGCATTACTAAAACCACTCAAATGATTGATTAATTTTTATTTAATTTTACCTGTAAGCTCTTTTGTCAAGAAATTAGCCAGAACCAATTAAAATGCAGTGGAGTGGGCATATATCCACTGATCTGACCCAGCAATGTAGCAATTATTTTATTTCATAACTACATTATAAATACACCTGCATAATAAATCAATAACTTGAAAAATAGCATTTCAAAATTAGTTGAGAAAAAGAAACCAAACAGATAAGAAAAGAAAGTTTCCCTGAGAAAGTCTTGAATTTAAACATCTAAAGGATTCATAGTCAGAGCAGAAATAATCAAAAGATAGATATTCAGAGAATTACCCCATTAAATGTCTGAATTGCCAAAATGAATGTGTTCCAGGTTCCATACAAAAATCAGATTATTAATCATAAAAGAGCTTCAAATATGCATTGGACCTGTGATGTTGTATATTAAATTCTAGAAACCAAAGAAATAATGTTTACAGAATTCTGGGAGAGGATTGTGACCCCTACTTTTGAACCCAGAAAACTATTGATCAAGGTTCCAAGGGGAAATTTTTTATATTTATATAAAATAAACAGAAAGTATACCACACAAAACACCCTTTCTGAAAATATTTAAGGCACTTCAATATAACATTGGCAAAATAAAACAGCTAAAAAGGATGATGTAGCAAATGATAACCATCAGTAAGAAATTCCCAATAAAGTTTACTGTGAATTAAGTAATTATTCATAACTGGTAAACTCAGTGTACATTCTAAACAAACTCATTGCCATCGAGCTAATGCCAACTCATAGCAACCCTATAGGAGAGAATAAAACTGCACCTTTGAGTTTCTGAGACTGTAATTCTTTACAGGAATAGAAATCCTAGTTTGTCTCTCACAGAGCAGGTGGTAGTTTTGAACTGCTGACCAGCAGATCGCAACCCAATGCATAACCATTATGCATTTGTTAAAACAGAAAATATATTATGCAAAATAAACCATCTGAAATTAAAATTTCAGACTACTTCTTTAAAACCTCTTAAGTGGGAAATTAAGAATAAAAGAATATACCTTTCACGTGCAAGACTATTAAGTTTTATTGTTGAAAGAGAAGTAAGTTCAAGTGTGATAATTAAAACTTTAGGTCTGATTTCCAATTGAAGATGGTTGACTAAACATGTTAATTTCTTTCCAGCCCTAAATCTCAAAATTGACAAAATAAAAATACAAAAGCTAAGCAGTGTTTAAACAGAAAATAAGGTGGTTGTGTGTGTGTGTGTGTGTGTGTGTGTGTGTGTGTGTAAGAAAGAGCTTTATATACAAGAACAGTTGAATATTGAGAAAACATGCCATCTCAGTCCAGATCAAGTCCATAAGTCTGATATTAGCCCATATGTCTGATACCAATCTATAAAATCCTCTTCAAATCCACGAAACACATGCAATGACACCGAATGCAGGAAGATCACAGGACAGTGGGTGGGAATTCTTGTGAATCCAGTGGCACTGTAAGCATCTCAGAACTTGCAGGGGTCTCCACGTGGCATATAGACCTTGCTATGAATATATTTTTTAGAAAATTCAGGAGAACTAGAAACGTTTTTATTGCTATAAGGTCCTAGAAACCTTTGTTAAATGAAAAACTGTTTCTCAAATTCACAACCTCAGTCTACACATTTCAGAAGGTGGTGTTCCTCTCTCTCTCTCTTTTTCTCTCTCTCTTGAGATAAGGCTTCCCAATCTATTCTCATAGGGCAGCCCTTGCTACCATAAAAAAATGGTGAAGTACATTGTCGTAATGGGGGAAAAACTTCTCAGTTCAACTTTCCTGGCACTTTTCGTACCAATGCAGTTTTTAAAATTTCTTAATAAGTCCCCTGATCATCCTGTGTCCTTTGAGGAAATTAATCCAGATTACTCCTTCAGGATCTCCCAAAACAGTTGCCATAACCATCTGAGCTGACTTTTCTGCCTTGAATTTAACTGTCCCAGTAGATCCTATTAGAAGCTACCGTTTGTTTGTTTTTAAAAATACTGTTTTAATTATGAATTCGGTGGAAGTTTACATTTCATATCATCAACTTTGTAGTCAACAATTTAAAGTACTTACCAAACCCCTCAATAACCCATCCCCCTCCTTTCACTTCTTCTTCCACTTCACCCGTTAACCTGGTTAACCTGGTTAACCCTGTCAACCCTCTATCTTATTGCTTAATCTTCCCTCCCTGATAACTTCCCACTTGGTAACCTTGAAAGTCTGTTCTTTGGTATGAAAGTCTTTGTCTTGGAATTTTTCTTTATAACAGTGATCTTATATAATATCTGTCCTTTTGTGTCCTCTGGGAAAATAAGACTGGTATGTAAGAGTCTTCCACTGATTGACAACCATTTGGCATGTCCCATAGTTACTCAGCAACATTTTTTATTTTATTGAATACCTACTAAGCAAATATCAAAATCTTAGAATCCTATTATCTTATTTTTAATATTTAACTTTTTAACCCATCTGGAATTCATTTCTGCTAGCAACATTTCATTCATTATTTTTTCTTTACTGACTTGAAGAACATATTAAGCTTCAATCTATACTGAGTCCTGCTTATGTTCCACTGATCTATTTGCCTCTTCCTATGTCAGTTATCATATTATTTGAATACAGTGCATTTGAGTATGATTAATAATTGGTAAGGCCCATCATGAGTCACTTGGTAGCTCAATCTCCATCTTTTTAGATATTGCCAAAGTTATTTCCATAGTGGCTGTACATACCTACAGGTCCACCAGCAGTGGATGAGAGTTCCTATCTCACCACAGCTCCTTCAACACTTGTTACTTTCTGACGTTTTGAACTGGGCTATCTTTGAGGATGTTAGGTAGTATCTCATAGTTGTTTTAATTTGCATCTCTCTTATGGCTAATGATAGGGAACATTTTCTCATATGTTTATTGGTCATTCGGATTTCAGACTCTGTGAAACTTCTGTCCAGGTCCTTTGCCCATCTCCTCAGTGGGAAATTAGTTTTTCTCTTATTGCAAGCTTGCAAAGTATTGTAGATTTTAGTAATAAGGCCTTTGTCTGATGTGTCCTTGCTAAAGATGATTTCCCATTCTGTGGGCTCTCTTGTTACTCTTTTGGTGAATTATTTCAATGTACACAGGTGATTTATCTTCAGTATATCCCACTTGTCAATTTGTGACTCCTCTGTATTTGTGTCCTTCCCTATTTCCAATAGCCTATGTATTATTCCCTGTGACAAAGTTCTCAGGTTTGTTGAAATTCCCTCATTAATGGCCCTAATTGTTTGGGGTTTTACCTCAAGGTTTGTGATTCACCTTGAGTTTATTCTTGTGCATGGAGTGAGGTAAGGGTCTTGTTTCATTTTTCTGCATGTAGAAATTCCATTTTTTCCAGCACCACTTATTGAAGAGGGCATCCACTTCCCACTGGATATTTTTTGGGCCCTTATCAAAAATCACTTGCCTGTATGCTGATGTTTTTATTTCTGGGTCTTCAGTTCTTTTCCATTGGTCTGAGTATCTGTTGTTATACCTATACCACACTGTTTTGACCACTGTGGCTGTATAGTACGTGCCAAAGTCAGGTAGAGCAAGCCCTCCCACTTTGTCCTTCTTCTTGTGGAGTTCTCTGCTAATTCTGGGCTTCTTCCCTCTCCATATGAAGTTGGTAATCAGTTTTTCTAATTCTTTGAAGAAGATGATGGTATTCATATCAGGATAGCATTAAACTTATATAGTGCCTTGGGCAGAACTGACATCTTTACTAATTGAGTCTTCCAATCCAGGAACATGGGACATTCTTCCACTTGTTGAGGTTACTCTTGGTTTCTTGTCATAGTGTTCTGTAGTTTTTCTCACACAAATCTTCTGGGGTTTTTAGGTCAGGTATATCCCTAGATATTTCAATTTGTGCTTAGCTATTGTAAAGGGTATTATCTTTTTAATTGCCTCTTCTGTGATCTTGTCTGATGTTTATAGCAATCTGATAGACTTCTGTTTGTTGATCTTTTATCCTGTCACTCTGCCATATTCCTCTATCGCTTCCAACACTCCACTTGTGGAGTTTCAGGGATTAAACCAGAGCATGCACACTGCTACATTTAAGAGCCCACAACATGGGACATCCAGAATAGATAAATCCCTCAGGGCCAACAAGGGGAGTAGAGATACCAGAAGGATTAGGGGAGGGTGGAGGGATAATGGGGAAACTGATCACAAGGATCAAACTAGAACCCCCTTCCAGAGGGACGAATAACACAAAAGTGGGTGAGGAGCGATGGAGGACGATGTAAGATAAGGAAAAAATAATCTATAACTTATCAAGTGTTTGTGAGGGAGGGCAGGTGGGGGAGGGAGAGGGAAGAAATGGGCAGCTGATATCAGGGGCGCAAGTGGGAAAAGAATGCTTTGAAAATGATGATGGCGGTATACATGCAAATGTGCTTGACACGCTGGTGGAATGTATGGATTGTGATAAGAGATGTAAGAACGCCCAATAAAAGTATTTAAAATAAATAAATAATTGGTAAGGCAACTCACTTTCCTGTTCATTATTTTCTTAACTATTCCCATTTATTTATAGCCCATACAAATATTGAAATAATTTTTCTGAATAAAATAATAAAAACTTATTAGAATCCTAATTGAAATTATTATATCACATATGTATATATATTAATACAGAGAAAATAGGCACCTAAAACAATCTTTTTAAAAGCCAAATAAGAACATATCTAGAGCTACAGTAAAAGTTTTTTGGAGTGGGTAGGTGAGGAATATTGACGCTTTTAATAACTGCAGTATAAAGGTAAGTCAAAAAGTATTGCTGCTAGCATTCTAGTTCATACATGCATGGGTTTATTGGAAACAAAACATGTCTATGTACAACAGAAGGAAACATTGCCTGGTCCTACACCATCCTCACTATTGTTCCTATGCCT